AAAAAGGCAGTTCTCTCTTTCTCTCTCTCTCTCTCTCTCTCTCTCTCTCTCTCGCTCTCTGGCACTATCTCTTTCTCTCTCTTCTTTGTTTGATCCAGACAGCTGTTACTTGACCTTTTTTATATCCCTACTTGTACTAGAAAGTAATAAATATTTGGATCTTGGAGAAATGTTACATACACAATACCAAAACTTACTAGGAATTAAAGTAATTTTTCTAATAGTGCTATGAATTAGGAAACAACATCATAGCACACAGGAAATTCCTACAAGAATTCAGTCCCCATCTTCAACAGCAAGCACAGCATTCCAATTCTGATGGTAACAGTAACAGTCTGACTGTATGTCTGTCTTGCTCCTTCCCTGAGCATTAGGCATTGGCCAGATCCCCTGGTTGCTCCATGCTGTACAACATTCTCTTTAGACTATGGCAATCTATTTGTGCTTCTGCACTGTTTGCTTGCTTCCAAAGGGCCCTTACAACATCTAGCTTGTCATGAATTAGTTTACCAGCAGTGGGTGCAGAACCAGCCAATCTATCTGTCTGTTCAATTTTCCAAAACATCAGCGTGACCTGGAGAATATATCCAAAGGATTTTAACTACCCAGAACCTCTGATTGTTTGTACAACACTTAGTACAAAGCATACCTGTCTCCACCTTTCTAAACATGCTCTGTGCATCAGATGCAATCACAATATCTATGGGCAGATGGTTATCAAGCCAGCTGAAGGCTGCATTGACTGCCTGCAAAACCATTTTCAAACTAGATGACGTCGTATGTTATGCCAGGCAATAAACAACGTCCTTTCACCTTTGGTATTAATACCCATGCACTTCCTCTGCCTCTCTACACTGAGCCATCTGAATAAATAATCACATCACCTGGGTAGAATTGTCACAAATCATTTACTGAACTTCAGATTCTGCAGTAGCCATTTGTCAGTCCCTACACTCATGGAATAATGTGATTAGAACCCTACACACATCTGACTGTTGCTTGGACACTGATGGGAAAGCCAGAGAATGTGGATTAATAAAATTAAAGACCTTCCACATCCGCAGTAACAGAAGCCATCACTATCCATCAAGCAATGGATCACAAACTATTCCTCCACATGCCACTTAATGGCTTGCACATATGTCTAACTGTGTCTTTAGCTAGCCCCATCTAAGATCTTCCTCTTTTCACAATTGACCCATAGTTCTAGGGCTTCATACAGAGGAGCTTCTTATCAGTAGCTACTTTAAGATACAACTTTGCGTATCTGTAATAGTCGGCAGTGCAAGTTTATGTCACATATATACTACTCAGGTATCTCTTGTACATCCCAGAATTACCCACATGGATTCATTCTGCATGCACTTAAGTTTTATCTGCTGACTCTTTGATATGATAAGTATTCTGAATCCATAACCTGTCAATGAGAGGATCACTTGCTGGAACACATTTATGGTTCCATTTCAATTGGTGTCAAAATTTTGAGTGCAAAGAATTATTTTTTGACATTTTGCCACAACTGCCTCCACGTGATCCTTAAAGGACAGGTATCTATCTAAAGTGATACTCACGTACTTCAGTTTTCTTTCTCTTTTACGTTTCTCTTAATAACTGTGAGGCTTGGGGCATCAGCTCTTAACAACCATATTGTCCAGAGAGTACCATAAATCAGCTGCCTCTCTGCAAATCAGTCAACCACTTTGTCCAAAGTTGCCTGCAGCTCTTGAGCTGTTTGCTATCACTTCCCTACCTGTATGCTAGAAAATCATCTGCAAATGTCAATATCCTTTAAACGCCTGGTGTTCTGCAGGCTTGCTTGTATACACATTGAAGAGCACTGGTAAAATTGCAGTATCCTCTGTGAGTCCCAGGACCATATTGCCTGCTCCAGAAGTGCATACACCCAGAGGGAAGGCAGCCATATGTGAATTTTGGAAGCTGCTATACAGATCACCATACAGGGACAGACACCCATCTGCATTAGCACATATATCAAAACATTTTATCTGACTCTATTGCAGACATTATCAAGATCAAGTGCTGCCATTTTCATTTCCTGTCTATTCTGGAACCCCTCCTAAACATCAACACAAAAATGAGAACTGAAGGGGCTAGATGCATTTGACCAGGTATCTTTCCCTGGTCAGTAACTGCCCAAACCTTTTGGCAAGAGTACTTCCCTCTCAAAAACCATTGCAATTTAACAGCAATCTTCTCTAGCACCTTGCCAAAAGTATTTTGTAGAGTAATAATCCTGAAACCACTGAGTCTTGAATTATGTCTTGCCAGATTTTGCCAGCAAATTGCTATATACTAAATTTTTGAGTATTGACACTGTTGTGATGCTCTGGTTGACAAGCCATCTCTCTCAAGTCTGCATTCCTCATGTCATTTATGTTGGCATACCTGACCCCCTGTGGCCAAGCATAGTGCATTTTGCTTTTTGCAATATTATTTTATACTCCATCCTCTCCACCCTCCAATTTCCCAATAAAATCCTGCTAGTCATTATAATTTATGGTATTCTATAGATTATCTCTAACTGAGTTTCTATGCTCTCTATCATTATGATTAGTTAGTGCTATATATCTCTGTAAAAATGCTTCCTTTTCTCTTTCTCCATGTACATAAAGCCTGTTATATCACAATCCTTTCTTTGCATTTGTTTATGCAGTTTCCAGAACCTTTCCCCATTATTTATACACTCCAATTTTTTTCAAAAAATGTTTTTGTTGTTTTTAAATCTGCTGCCAACCACTTGGACTCTTCTTCTTTTTCTTTTCTTCTTCTGCGTTCGACATCAGTCATGCTAAACATTGAGTCACGTCTGGGTCACAAATAGGATTGTGCGTTTAAGGTCGCCACCAGTCCCCCATAGCTTCTCTCGCAGTGTGGATCCCCTGGGCCAGATCCACAGTCTTTGCTGGGAGAGGTAAGGGCAGTACTGCAGTATGTGCTCAGGGGTCTGTCTTTCTGCTCCACAATCACAGGCAGCAGATTCTTGTATGCCTATCCTGTACAGGTGTGGTCAAAGACCACAGTGTCCAGTCCGAATTCTAAAAATTGATGTTTGTTCTTTCCTCTTGAGTTTGTTTATGCTGTCACTATCTGGTCTGTAATCTCCATGTGTGGTGGATGAGGTTGTGGAAGATACTCCCAGCTTTTGCCAACTCATCTGCTCTCTCATTTCCTTGAATACCACAGTGGGCTGGTATCCACTGCAAGACCAGTTCTGTTTCCTTGGAGAGTAAGCCAATGTTGGTCCTTAGATCTGCAATTAGTTTGTCTTGTTTTTTGCTTGATAGTGCTTGGAGAACAGACAATGAGTCACTAAGTATAACAATTTTGTGCCCTCTGTGTTCTTGAGTGATGAGATGTTGGACTGCAGAAAGAAGGGCAGTTGCCTCAGCTCTGAAGTTAGTGCAGTTGTCACCTGCATCTTTCTTTTCTAACCTCTTGTGCATTTTCTACCTCCCTGTGTAACCTGTGATGTATCTTTCACAGTTTTCGTAATTTTTTAACTCTTTGAGTCCCAGGGGGTTTAGCATCACAGGCCCAGGGGGTAGTAAAGAAAGTAATAAAATCGGCGCATCATACGTTCATTGGGCTTCTAGGTAGGATGATGCGTTCCTTGGGACTCAAAGAGTTAACTGTTGCTCTCTTTATTTTTCTTGCCTGTTCTTCTGGGATCCACCATGGAGGCTGCACAAAAACAGAGGTGGTGGTTCTGCTGCATACCCTCTGTCAAAGACATCAGAGAATGATACTGACCCTCTCATTCTTAAAAGTTGCCCACCTTCTCATAGCCCTGATCTGGCTAGCTTTGAAAATCAAAACTGAGCATGACTAAGGATCACTCCCATGATCCCATGAGTAAATAAACATACTGACAAAATGAGTTATATCATAGAACAGAACGATTATGGTGTCTAAAAATGCCCTTTGTGAGTTCTGATTTCTTGTTGACTTTGGCTTTGTATAATTAAGGTAATTTGTCCACTGAGTATTAGTTATTATTCTTATGATAGAGACTTTGATTAAAAGATTTGATTAAAATTGTGTGTATCTTTATTATTTCCCCCTTGAACTTTCTAATCATAGTGTGTGTTGTATATAGTACTTCTTAAAATCAACCAACTGCAGTCACTATGTACTTGTATTTTACAAATACTAACTTCGTCTTTCGCTTGTTTTGAAGAATCTGCAAACGATGCAGCAAGGCATACATTGGGGAGACTGGCAGGAAGCTAGCTGATCGTTTCCGGGAACACCTCTCCGATATCAACAAGAAGACACTCAAACCAATCCCTCTTCATTTTAATAGCCCTGACCACAGCGGTAAAGATGACATATCTGTCACAGCACTAAAATCTTGCTCTGGCGATCATACTACCCGCCTCGCTTTGGAAAATCGCCTTATCCACAGCCTTGGCGTTCTTAGTCCAAGAGGTATCAATATCCAACATACCTTCATCTAAATAGTTCTAATCTTATCACATTTTAAATGTTAATTTTTTTTAATTTTTTTTATTTTTTATTTTTATTTTATTTTTTATTATTACCTTATTCTATTTCTTATCAGTATCATTTATGTATCATTTACACTTGCATTTCTTTTATTCCCAGTATTGTGACTATATTTTTTAGCCATCGTTTATTTTATTTTATTTCATTTATTCCGCATCACATTTTTTTAAACGTCGCTCACGTCACCCCTTAGAGATCTACATACTCTCCACTCCTCGTTTTGTGTCTTTCACTTGTGTTTGAAAAAGGCTGCCTGGCCGAAACGTTACGTTGTGTTGTTTTGTGCACGTTTTCCTCTTTCCCATTTTGTTGAGCTTTTTATTCAAATTTCTCTGGAATTCATTGTTTTGAAGAAAGCAGGTGTATGAGGCAGTGATTTTCAAAAGCCTTTATCTTTTGTTTGTATTAAACTAAATGAATGATGTACTATGTTATAATTTTCACAGCAATACGTATCTCAATACACATACTACCTATGCAACGCATCCCTCATGTTTTTGAAACGACCTTCAGATGAAACCAATGTCTGAAGTCTATCAATCATTTGCTTAGTCTGAAATATATTATAACAATTCTAGCATCAGTCATTAAAGACAATTAAAACAAGCAAGCAAAATTTAAATGAAACTTTGAATCCCCCTCCATAAGAAGGTGACTGCTGAAACTAAATCTCTTGCTTCCAGACAATTAAAAAATAATACTGCCACTATTTTGTAGATAAATCAGTTGATTTATAATAGAAAACCTGTTGTAATCAAAGGTGAAGAAATCTGATCAAAACAAATTCAAGCTTAAATTCAGAAAACAAATTCAGGCTGAAAGTCAGCTGTACTCAGTTACACTTTCCCTTTTAGTTTTCCCAACATAGAGTTAAAGCATTCTACGTGAATTTAACCTATATAGTTTTTGTCTGTTGTTATAAAATTTTGTTTAAGATTTTGTTTAATAATGTTTATTTGCATACAGTTTGCACAGCTCCATTTAACTACACTATTTAATTTTTCTTGTAATATTGTGAGGCCTTTTGGGAACAAGTGAACACTGAAGAGGTGCAGATAGATCATTACGGTCTGAGGAGAAAGCGCTGCAACAAGTTACCAGGTGATCTGGCCAACACTCAACACTTAGGAAAAGGATGAGACGGATATACAATCAGATGGTTACTGGTGCCATCAAAATTGTAACTCTTCGCTTGCTGCTGAAGATGGGGACAGAACACTTATGGCAGTGTCCCGAGTGCTGTGATGTCGATTCTTAATTCAACATTCAACATTCTTGTTGTAAGGACAATTCTATTATTTACAAGTTTGAGCATTTGTAAGCATTTGTAAAGACTGTACAGTTGTCTGTGAATAAATTCCAGGATGACCACTCATATGAGGGAAGATGATTTATGTAAATACTGAATACCTAAGGGTCATGAATAGAGAACTGAGGTACCCGAAGATTTAAGGTAATGGTCCATGATCCGGATTTATTTACGAGGTTACTTTTTTTCTATTTCTTTTTTTTAAAATATTACTCACTTTAATATCCTAGGATTGAATTTCATAGTTTCTAATTTTCCGATAGCAATATTGTATTCGATCATGTCAAAAGATTTCCTAAAGTCTAAACACCCATCCAAATATTTTCTCATCATCTATATTCTGATGCCAGTTTTCTGTAATGTTTGTTAAGGCAGTATGGCAAAAGTACTTTGGTCAAAACCATGACTGGTTATCCACTATAAGGTTGTTGCGATTTAAATGTTGAAATGTTATATTATGAATTTGTTTTTCTAGTGGTTTCGATAGTGATGAAAACAGGGAGATTGGACTATAATTACCTGGAATACTAGTGGCTAAGAAACTTGATTTAAGATGCAGAAACACTCTGGCAATCTTAAACGCTGATGGGAAGCAGCCTTTAACAAGACACTGTTTGTAAATAAAGGTCAATGACTTGCAAATAACAGGTGCAGCACTGAGAAGGATCCTTTTGCTGATTCTGTCTACACTGGATGAATTAATTTTATGAGATGCAAAAATACTTCAGCAACTGTCATGAGAGGTTATCTCTGTCCCAGTGTGAGATGCTAGTTTTTGTTTTTTAAAAGCTATAGTCTGGCTGTAATATGCTGCCCTCAATCTAACCTTGGAGTTGAAAAGGGTTTGTGGGACTTTCGCTCGGGTGAGTTGAGTTAAGTCAAGAATTAAAATCACATCACTTGGAGCATTACCAGCGCACTTAGTCTTCATCTTCAGCAGCCAGCGAAGAGTTCCAATGCGGATGGTACCGGTCAGAATCTGGTTATAATTCTGTTTTGCCTTTCCTCTGAGTACAGTGAGCTGGCCAGACCCTCTGGTTACACCCAGGTGCCTCATTCTCTCCAGGCCATAATAATCTTCTTTCTCTACTGATTCCGTTGCTTGTTCCTAAAGGTCCTTGACCACATCTGCCTTGTCATCTATCAGTTCACCACCCAGTGGAACAAATCCAGCCAATCTGTCAGCCTGTTCATTACTGACTATGCCGGCATGGCCTGGAGAAAAGATCCAAAGTATGCTCACCACCCGTGACTTTCCCAGAGAAACTTGCCACTCTATTCGAAGCATCCCTGTCTTCACCTTTCTCAGCATGCTTTCAAAGTCTGTTACAATTATGACATGTGTATGCATCTTGTTCTCTAGCCACTGGAGAACTGCAGTTACCGCCTAGACCTCCATTCTCATGCTAGATGTTGTGATGTCGTATGCTTGACTGTCTAAAGATTTTCTGTTGACTTTCACTACAAATCCCAGGCACTTCTCTTTCCTCTCAACACTGAACCATCTGTATAGATAATCAGATCACTTCGGCGTGAATTGTCGTGAATCAACTGTTTGACTTCCACCTCCGTAGCACCTTTTGGTCACTCTCTGCACTCACTGCCAAATGTGATCATAACCCTACACAGGTAAGACTTTTCCTCTGGTACTCTGACCCACTCCTCTCATTGTCCAATAGTCTCCAACATGCATATTTGTCTTATTGTTTCGTCTGCTTGAGCCATCCCCAATTTTCCCCTTTTCAGCCTCTAACCCTTACCTGCAGCTAAAGCTTCATACAGAGGGTGTTCTTTGTCTGCAGCTACTCTGAGGTATGACTTAGCCTGCAGCACCTGGTGATTCTCAACCAAATGTTGGCATTTCATGTCATCAAGTGTTTATTGCTAATGTTGAGGTCATGATGGGTTGAAAATCAGTCAGTCAGTCACATAAGAGGTATGTCAGAAGCAGCTACTTCAGAGCATTTATTTTCAGAAAATTGTTGTCAGCAGGAACAAATCACAAGGACATTTTGGTACTGTGCCTTTTAAATATTCTATATTGGCATGAAAGAAGTTACTGAAATCATCAGATGTTATAACAGATTTCAGCAAATGCATTGATAGAAAGAATAAGAGGAAAATAAAAAGAAGAAAACATTTTACAGCACACTGATACCTGTTTTGACAGCTTCTCCCATGTTTTCTTGAGTCTGTACACAGAACTATTTACAAATGCTGCACATATCTGGAGAACACCATTGTAGTTGTGCATGCAGCGGCAAATGTCAGCAATGGCTGCCCACTTTTCTATACATGTCACTCTGTCCTGCATGTTTGATCTGCTTACAATTTCTGACACAACCAGGCGACTCACCTGCAATTATAATGTACAGACAAAGTTAGCACTGACAGTAGCTACTGCAGAATCAATGGCATCAATGGCATCCATCAGTCCCGGGGGACTATGGAGATGTGCCGCTGGCTTTGGGAACAGCATCTGCTATGACTGTAAAGTCCAATGCGGGTATGGCAGTCTTTGCCACACAGGATACACACAAAAGCAGATACTCCCTTGTTGTGAGGCAGTTTTACTCTCCGGTGCCTCCTCTCCATAGCTCGTTGTGTTCGGTTTCTTTCAAAATGTGACAGTACATCTTTCACTTTCTGTCTCCATAGTAGTCGATCTGCAGCTAATTTTTCCCATGTCTCTGTGCCTATGTCGGCTCTGTGGCTAAGTCGATGCGAACGCTTCGCTTCGTAATGCCGGGATGCCAGATTCGATCCCAGCTGCGGGCAATGCGCCTTGCGTTGGTTTCGACAGTGGTATCAAGAAAGCCGACCGTCCAGAAAGCAATGGCAAAACTACTGGATGTAAATTGCCTAGAGAAACCACACAACAGCCAGGGGCTGTTGGGGTTGGTTCTGCAACGTCCTGTAAAGGATACGCAACTAACTAAAAAAAAACTGTGCCTATATTGGTACCTATTAGGTCACGTTTGCATACATCTTTATAGCGCAGCTTTGGCCTTCCTGTAGAATATGGCAGTAATTAGTCAAATTTAAATAATATAATACAAGACCACACATGACTGAACCAAAGGATGTTATAATTAAAAAATAATTAACAGAACACTTGGCACATGAAGGGATGAGGATAACCAATCAAGATTCATTCCCTTTGGAGTTGGAGACATATTAGTATACAGGAGAATGGCTGAAGACTTAACTGGTAGGAAATCACTGAGCAGCTTTATCCTCAGTCTTTGTGCACATTGTCAACTTGTAACTTTAAAAAAAAAAATAATAAAATCCTGTACTGGAACACATTGTTCCATGAAGAAGAGAGAGGCACTGAGCAGCAAAACAGATGGAAAATACCTGAAACATGGAAACTAATAAAGGACCACTATTCTCATCATAAGGCTATGATGGGAATGATATTCTATGAAGGACATACAACTGGTTGATTCTTGTGTTGTTGTTTTTTTTCAGTTCATGACTGAAGAAACATATCACACAGCAAACTGTGAGAGAAGTTTTTGAAAAAAAATATATCTACATCACAGAAGCAGCCACTGGTTTTTTAAAAATGTATCATTGTAGATCTGCATCACAGAGCAGGCTGCTCTAGCAATCTAAAAAATTGCTGAGGGTTGAGATTCTTAGCCATGTGAAAGCAAGGGGAGATTACCACAATATATCCCTAGAACTCTAAACAGAAGCTGTAAAAAAACTAGGAAATGGCATCTGCAAGCAGGTTAATGTAAACATGTTGAGATCACGCATCTTTCCCATGGTAACTAATGGCTGTGAGGCAGGGAATCTAACATGGTAACTAATGGCTGTGAGGAGGGAATCTAACATGGTAACTAATGGCTGTGAGGCAGGGAATCTAACATGGTAACTAATGGCTGTGAGGAGGGAATCTAACATGGTAACTAATGGCTGTGAGGCAGGGAATCTAACATAACCTTTAAAGAAATATTTGGAGCTTTTGAACTGAAATGCTAAGACAAATTCTAAGAGTACTGCGGACCAAGAAGAAGAAAAGCATCAACTTGCTATATGATTTAAACATCAAGGAGAACTGGCTCAAAAAAAGCATCCTCTTCTGAAAGCTGAGGTATTTTGGCCATGATAAATTTCACGGTGGTCTGAAAAAACCAGTGAGGAAGGTACAGTTTCTAGAAAATGAGGCAGAGGCCAAGCTTTACAAATGTAGTTACAAGACATTGAAGACACATTGGACATTAAAGTTGGAGAACTGGCTAGAGAAAAAGAGACTTTCAGGCATGCTATTATGTGAAGGACATTCTGTAAAGGACATGCTGATGATGATGTAGATCTGTCATAAATTACATTTTAATCTGATGATATCCTTCTAAACCAGCAAGGGAAGGACAGAGTTATGAGAGCCAAAGAATTGCAGATCAAGCTGAACAATATAATTAAATGTTTTGATGCTTCTGGTTGTCAAGCTATAGTGCTAGTTTCTCAGCAAATGACTGCAGCCTTGAAATGAAGGTGCCTGTTTGGATGTTGATATTGGAAAAATACAAGAATTTTGAATAATTCAGCAAACATGGTTAAGAGTATACAAGCCAGATATATGTGTAGGTGATGGTTCAAGGTAATACCAATATTCACAGTTGGAACTAGTGCATCTGTTTTTGCTCAAGGTCACACAGTAATCAAGGCATATTACTTTGACTGCTTTCCTGTCTATTGCAGAAGGTTCATCGGAACAGAAATGAAATGGATGAAACAGTGATCAAGTTTATGATTAAAAAAACACTGATGTTTAGCAGGTAATAGCAAGACTTTAAGGCTTCAAGTGGGGTTCGAGTAAAATAAAGAACCAACACCAAAGCTAGAATGATATTCAACCAGTTAGAGTAAAATACTTGACCTTTTTTTTTTAAATGACAGTCTATTCTGATCATTTGAAAACTCTCTACCAAGTCTCCACCCTGAGATTATTTACTACAGCCCTTATGAGTTTTAAAATTAAGTTTGTGCCCACAGATGATTATTACAGCTCTCATTAACTGTGTTTTTCAAGTCTGAACTCACAAAATATGACTTCTTCTTCTTCTTCTTCTTCACTTCCTCTTTTACCGCTGTGGGTGTCGAGGGAGATAAAAGGTTCTGTTTCTAGCTCTTCTGGCTGCCTCGACCATAGGCACATCATGCTGTTGTAGAGTTTCTCTGATGCTATCCTTCCATCTTGTTCTTGGTCTACCCTGTGCTCTACGTCCTTCTTCTCTTTCCATGTATGCTTTGTATGGTATGGTGTCACAAGGCATTCTCTCTAAGTGGGCAAACCATTTCACTTGCAATCTTTGTATATAATCCAGAATTGGTTCTGTGCCGACTTGTTCTCTTATGATCTCATTCCTGATCTTATCTCTTATGGTCACTCCTACAGCCCTTCTCAGACATCTCATTTCCATGGTTACTAATTTTCTTTTATGGTTTGTTGTGAGTGACCATGTCTGGCACTGGTAGCACAGAGTTGGAATAAATATGCTTTGAATAGGATGTCTCTTTGTGCTGATTGAGATTGTCTTATGCTGTAAGAGGGGGGCTAGCTGTCCCAATAATTGGTTTGCTTTACTGCATCTAATGTCAATTTCTTTATCCAATTTCCCATCTTCGGTAAATGTAGTTCCCAGATATTTAAACTCAGATGCCTGTTTAATGCCTTTGTATTCTATTGCTATGTTTAGATCTGTCTTCTTTTTTCCTATTGACATTACTTCTGTCTTTTCAGTGTTGATTCTCATATTATTTGTTTTACATTCTTCATTCATGGATGTTAGATGTTGTTGCAATTTCATGGCTGTATCTGCTATCAAGGCCTGGTCATCTGCAAAGAGTAATTCGTTGATCTTTCTAAGATCTTCAGTCATGGGCTTGGCATTCTTGCATATACTGTCGATGTAGGTGATAAACAGCAGTGGTGATAAGACACACCCCTGTCTTACTCCAGATGTCACTGTGAAAGGATGAGATGTTCCCTGATTTATTCTAACTACACTTCTACAATCCCTGTATAAACTTTTGCACACTTTGATGAGGTGTTCGCTTACTCCATATCTTACCATTATTTTCCATAATAATTGTCTGTTGACTCTGTTAAATGCCTTCTCCTGGTCTACGAATGCCACAAATAAGTTCTTATTGTATTCAATGTTCTTTTCTATTAACTGTTTAAGTGTGAAGATTGCATCTGTGCAGCTTTTATTTCTTCTAAATCCCATCTGTTCTTCTGCCAGCTGTGGTTCTATCACTGGTCTCAGTCTTGTTTCTATTATCTTGGCATACATTTTGCCAACATGGCTTAAAAGACAGATGCCTCAATATTGACCGCATTCTCGTTTGCTTCCTTTGTTCTTCCACAATGGTATATGACTACAGCAGTATTAACAAATTTCCTATCATAAGCTCAGGTTGAGTTCACTGGAGTTAAAATATCAATTATTTGAGACAGAAGCAGTTAAAGGGATTTCTGGCACAGAACTGAAGAGAGGTCAAATGGACACAGGACATTATGGCTGTTCCATTCAACATGTTCAATCCTGAGTCAAGCTCACAGTTTTTTTTTTATTTCACTAAGGTGCTGTTTGTAGAATAAGTGTGAAAGCTTGAACAAGTCACCTTTATTCCATGCCACCCACCCCCAGGTGAAATTTTCTACCAGAAAATATCCTAGGAAGACATAATTCAATCTTCATAGTGGACTGCAGGTTACTATGTAACCCTGGAGACACTCTAATATAAATATGTAAGATGATTGAAGGAGGTCTCTGGGGTTGCTCTGTTTGACTTTCATTCTTGAGGTGGTAATCCTATAAAGATCAATCCAGGAGGGGAACAATGACCACAGACTGTCCTGGGAAGTAAAGGCAGCTAGTGTGATGTTGATCAAACCCTAGTCAAACCTAACTGATCTGTTAGAATGTGGGTTTAGCCCACATGCTTGATGTGCTATTGACATGAACAGGGTCTTTAATTTTCTTCACTTTTAACATTTGGAATCTCTGTGGCAGAATGGTCAAGCCATTTGCCTCATGCTCTGAAAGTCTTGGATTCAGTTCTGGAGTGCAATTTTTATGGAGATCCCTGGAGATCGTGACCTGCTCCACAGAGTTTGCACTGTGTGTGATGTTCTCATTAGGTGGCTAGATATTCTGCAGAGAGAGACTGGGCCAAATAGGATATAACCTATGGTACCGAAGTTGATCCTCTCACCTTTGACCCTTAACTCTTAACATCATAGTACAATAAAAATATTGAAAGCTTCATAAAACTGACCTCATTAAATCTTTTACTGACCAGCAGAACATGTTGAGCTTTGTGACATTTATCTGGTTTCATCCAAGCCTGGCTGAGCAGCTCTCTGTAAAAGTGCAAATCATATTGCATAAAGAAATATACTTGATGGGAGATAGACAATTCTAATAGAATGTAGTGTAACATTTAAAATATTCAACACTGAATTCTGCTATAATTATGTTAGGTTTTGGCATACAAGACACACCTTGGAGTAGTACTTTTTAGTCCAAAATGTTAGAAGCCCTTCATACAGTTTGTTAAGCACAGATTTCCCGTGTAGTTAGCATCCTTTGGATATTCTCTCCAAGTGATGCTGGTGTGTTGGGAAATGAGCAGGCAGATAGACTCGCCAGGTTTGCACCACTTGGTGGTGAATTGATGTATGACAAGCTAGACGTTGTGAGGGCCCTCTGGGAGGGAGTGAACAGTGTGGAAGCACAAAGAGATCATTAAGGTCTGAGGACAATGGCCCTGCAAGGAGTTTCTGGGGGATTTGGCCAGAGCTCAGCACCCAAGAGAAGGGTGAGATGGATATACAATCAGATAGTTAATGGTGCCATTTGAATTAAAACTCTTTGTTTGCTGCTGAAGATAGGAACAGAGCACTTATGGGGGTTTCCGAGTGCTGTGATGTTGATTCTTAATTCAACATTCAAACACAGATTAGTAGATAAATGCCTACGAGTAGAACAAGCAGGATTCAGAAAGGGCAGAGGAACAACTGAACACATCTTCCCCATACGCAACATTTTAGAACAATGCAATGAATAGCAGAGAAGTATATAAAATAATTTTGTGGACTTTGAGAAAACTTTTGACAGCGTACATAGAGACAGTCTATAAACAATTTTAGGACATTATGGAATTCCAGAAAAAATAGTCAACATAATTGCTCTCTTCTATAAAGACTTTTCCTGCAGTATAAAAAATTACAATACATCTTTCCCAGTAAAGACAGGTGTAAGACAGGGATGTGTTATGTCATCTCTCCTCTTCAACCTTGCGATTGATTGGATACTAAAGAACACAGTACACAGAACATTGAGAGGCATATGATGAACTCCATTCCCCATGCTTGAGGACCTTGATTTTGTAGATGATATGGCACTCCTATCACATAAACATGAACATATACAAGAGAAAAGTAACAGACTAAACTGCACAGCAGAAATGGTGGGACTGAGAATAAATACAAAGAAAACTAAGATCTTGACAAGCAGTCCAAACCAACAACCAGTGACCATAAATAACCAAACTCTTGAAAATGTAGAACATTTCAGATATCTTGGCAGTGTTGTGTCCTTGCCGGGAGGGACCGAAGAGGACATACAGTCACGTCTGAACAAAGCTAGAGCTGCTTTTGGAAGGATGAGGCAAATCTGGAAATCCAACAATTACTGCAGAGGAACGAAACCCCGACTCTACAAGAGCATCATTTTGCCAGTTCTTCTTTATGGAGCGGAATGCTGGAGAATGACCAAAAAGGATGCACACAAGCTGTCTACCTTCCACCACACATGTCTACGTAGAATTATCAAAATTTTCTGGCCAGATACAATCTCAAACACTAAACTACTTCAAGTCACAAACCAAGAAACTTTAGACAATATGATAACCAAGAGAAGACGGAAATGGCTTGGCCACGTTATGAGAATGAATCCTGATATACCTGCTAAAACAGCTCTCACATGGACACTAGAGGGAAAGAGAAAACAGGGGCGCCCAAAAACAACATGGAGACGAACGATGGAAAGTGACCTGAGGCGGCATCTTTGACATGGAAAACTGCACTGAAGATTGCACAGGACAGGAAAGCATGGAAAGTCCTCTCTGAAGCCTCATGTGCCACTAGGCACAACGAGAACTGACTGACTGACTGACTGAAATTATCTTAGTGACATTCTAATGTTCTTTTCCCAGCAGATAAAGCAATTTGACTTAATTCAACATTCAACCACAGATTCATAAGTTCCTGAAATTATCTTAGTGACATTCTAGTGTTCTTTTCCCAGAAGATAAAGCAATTTGACTGTGGTGATAAACTAAAAGTAATCCTGAAATTATTATATACCAGCTAAACATTTTACATTGATTGTTAGTATTCACTAGGTTTCACAACATATGTCCGTGAGCAGCAACAATGTTTTATTTTGACTGTATTGCTGTTTAAAACAGATTACTTTTGTCCGTTTTTGACTAAATGTAAAAAAGTACAAACTGAATTTTTTTAATTTAAAAAACTTATTTTACAGGTTAGGTTTCACACCTCATGCACTGAAGACTTGTCAAAGACAGTAATTATAATTGTACTAGATTTAATTGCCGAAGCTTTACCCAGAATAGTCAAAGAAAGTATTCTCTCATCCTCTAGCCCATCTTGGTCTCCACTGCTGCCCTATATGTTGACCTAGTGAAAACAGGTCTAAATAAAACCCTATATTTAATAATCCGTCTTCTACTTCATCTTTGTCTCCTTTGCTGCCGTATCCCAAGTCATGGCACCTCGGGCATCTCCATCAGCATTTAATAATATGGGACACAGACAAATCCATTGTCTAAAACAAATACATATGAGTTGGTTAAGAATTTACATCACAGCACTCGGGGCATTCCCGTACGCTTCTGTCCCCATCCTCAGCAGCCAGCACAGAGTTCCAATTCTAATGGTGTCAGTCGTAGTATGGTTTTATGTCCGTCTTGCCTTTCCTCTGAGCATAGTGTGTTTGCCGAACCATTTGGTCACACCTAGGTGCATTATTCTCTCCAGCCCATAATAATCTAGTTTCTCTTCTGCTTTCGTTACTTGTTCCCAAAGGGCTCTGACCACATCTGCTTTGTCATGCACCAATTCACCACCCAGCGGTGGTGTGGTGATGCTTGCCACTCTGCTCGATGTAATCCTGTCTTCACCTTTTTCAGCATGCTTTCAGAGTCTGTTACAATTGCGACATGTGTGTGAAAATTGTTCTCTAGCCACCTGCAAGCTGCAGTGACTGCCTCCACCTTCGTTCTCATGCTAGATGTTGTGGTATCATATAGACAGACAAATACAGATATGTTGTTTTAAGAAAGGTAACAGTAATTTTTTTTTTCAAATTACCTTATCAAGGGAAGTAATAGGAAAAAAAACTGGAAGGAATATAACAGGAAAAGTCTACTTTTACTGATTGTTGCAATAAATAAATAAATACACAATAACCTGCGCCACCAATGTAGCTTTATCTTCTTCTGCATTCATTCAAAGATGTAACTGTGTTGTGCTCGTTTACAGCATGGCTGTGGTATTTGCACCTTTCGACCGACACAAATGACTTCTACAGGCATTTGTTGACCGGGTTAGCCTACCCGGCATTTATATTCTAATTTTCAAATCTGTCCCTCCCATTTATATAATTTACCTAGTTGTCCCCATGTGGGATGCAATTTTTTGTTTTTCTGAAATGTCACCCTGGTTTTTGCCGGAGGCCCTAAATATAGCCAGGCCTTAAATATGCCTAACGGCTATATGGAGTTTTTGGACCTCTCTACAGGTGATCTTCATCTGCATTGTGGCACTTTGTGTCACCGGGTGTTTATCACTTGTGTGATGTCTTGGTAGAGTACAATTTTCCTACCTACTAACCCAATTATAATAAATATGTTCAAAGTCTTTCTCAACCAACCAACTGACCAGCAAATCAACCAATAAACCAAATTAACTGAACAAGCAAATAGGTGATACAAATAAAATAAAAAATATTAAAAAATATCTTAAATTATCATCCAGCAGGTTGTTTATATAACATTGCTCATATCACAACCTGTTGGAAGCTTCTGGATTATTAATGAGTTCCTCTGCCTAATATATTTACACATCAGACTTCTTTAATGCTCAGTGTCTGTGTGTCTATTGTGCTGGTTAAACCTTAATCTCTGCATTCTCTTTTTTTTTTTTCAAGAACAATACCTTCCATTATTTTTCTGATTACTGATTTCAGAATCAACATCATAGCACACTGGGCATACCCATAGATGCTCTGTCTCCTGCAGTAAATATCTTGAGGTGTAAATGCTAACTGTTCCTGTAGCACCCTGATTATACTCACAACGTTCTCTTCCTCTTATCCGTCCCTCCTTGCCGGATCCACACTTAATTCCTTATTCACACATTCTGGCACATGTTATTTCATCTAATCTCCTGTTTTCTGTCAGCAGCCGTTCATATATGGTCTTCAGAATATCTCCCTTGTCCAGTAGGAGTGTTCCCGTAGCGTTTGCCATAAAATCCACTTTTTCATTTCCTCGTACTCCTACATTTTCTGAATAGTATATTTATATGATTCCATGCAATGTTGGCATACTGATGTATGGTATCCACTCATGCCATATTAGTGCATTTTGAACCTTCTGCAGTGCCAGCTGAGAATCAGACACAATAATTCCTCTGCTAACTTTGTTTTCTGCTATGCACTTCAGAGCTGCAGTTATTGCCTCCACTTCCATCCTCATGCTTGATGTTGTGGATAAAAAAAAAGCTTTATTTTGTTGTGCCACAATTTTTTCCTTCATTCTAGCTTAAAATTGCCAGCCGGATCTTACACCCTGATGAACCGAACCATCGGTGCACACTACTACATCATCTAGCCCAGCAATTCCATTTATCAACTGTTGTACCCCTAATTCTTCCATACCCTCACATCACTCTCTACATTCATTTCCTAATGTGACAATGACCTGATGGAAACTGCTTTTGTGGGTGTTCTTTATTGGCCATATATTTAAATGTGTGTCATGGTTTTATTTGTTTAACAGTCTGTCCCTTTGAGATAAAAACAATGCATGGCAGATGGTCACTTTCTTGCACCCCAAGAACATCACAATGCATTGTGTGTGCATCAGTACTGGACGCTAAAGCTAGGTCGATCACTCCATCCGAGTCTTCGGCTCTCTCTGCTGATTTTGTGGCATGACCATCATTTAAAACGGTGAAGCTAGTAGGACCTGCCTTAGTGCAACTCCCTGTCATTTTCTGTCTGATTTCCCCACTCTTTTGACCCAGCATTAAAATCACCAGCCATTAAATATTTTTCCATCACACTTCCCCAAATCTGCTTGCAATTTCCATGGGCCTTCTTTCAGAAGTTACTCCACATGCACGTATACGTTGAAGATGTACCAGTCGTAGTGGTCTAAAGGACCAACTTCTTCTTCTCTTCCACTTGAACCTCATCAAAGTGTTGGGGGGAGATGTAATGTACGTAGATGAGCTCTGTCAAGAGCACTATTAAGACTGATGTTCATTTCTGTAAGGCTGTTCTTAATGCCATCACTCCATATTTTCCGAGGTCTTCCACTTGCTCTATACCCGTTGTAACGTTTTAGTGTTGCTCGCTGTGGCAGATAGTACCAGGGCATTCTTGTTAGGTGTCCAACTTAAATCTCAAGCATTTCACTATTATAAGCTTGTTGAATCCCATGCTTGACATACATTACTAAACCTCAGTTTTGTGATCAGGGATCACTGTAGCAATCATATCCCAGACATTTAATAATCGATTCATCTTTTATTCTTGTTTCCTGGATCATGAGGATATCATCTGCAGTGTGTGTGCTTGTTGCTTTGCACTTCAGCAGTTCCAGTATCCAACACAAATGATATATTTATAATTATACGAGATAATCTTTCAGTTTTTCTTCTAGTCCTCCTCCTACCAACTCTTTTCGTTCTCTCCTGCCTCATTCTCCCTCTTCCTCTCCTTCTTCTATCCCTACCATCATTTGTTCTCAGTATTGACATCACAGCATGATCACCATAGCTCCCACAAAGATTCTGTGAAACAAAATTGATTCCATGGTTGTATATAGTTTGAGGGTTAATAAATGGTCATCCCATCAGTACACTCACTCTTTGCTGGAGAAGGTACTTAGGGCATTACATCCATCAGCCAAGCATTGCCCCTACAATGACTTGAATAGCTTCATTAATGGCTGTTATCCCACCAGCCATGCAGTTCTTTGGCATGAAGGAAACACCTTGAACTTGGGTTTAGACTGAAATGGTTGGGGCATATTGAGAGAATGTCAGATGACAGAAAAGTGATGAATGGAGGCAGGTGATATCTGCAGCAATGAACCTCAAGGGCTCGAAATGCTGAAGAAGAAGATATATATATATATATATATATATATATATATATATATATATATATATATATATATATATATATATATATATATAGATCCAGAGAGAACAAAAGACAGGGAGTGAGACACAGAGAGAGAAGAAGGCTCATAGATGACAAATATTCGAGACACACAGGGGATTCCCAGTGCACCCAAGGTCGGCATGACTGGCTTTAAGAAGGGACAGTGAACTAAGTCAGTTGGCAAAATGTATGCTAAGATAATAGAAACGAGGCAGTGATAGAACCACAGTTGACAGAAGAACAGATGGGTTTCAGAAGAAATAGAACTGCACAGACATAATTTTCACACTTAAACAGGTGATAAAATAGAAAATCAAATATGATCAGAATTTATTTTTAGACCACTAGAAAGCATTCGACAGAGTCGATAGACAAAAATTTAGGAAAGTAATGGCTCAATGTGGAGGAAGTGAACACCTAATTGAAATTTACAAAAGCTTATATAGCAATTGTAGAAGCATAGTTAGAATAAATCAGGGACCATCTAAACCATTCAAAGTAACAAGTGAAGTAAGGCAGAGATTTGTCTTATCACCACTCATGTTTATCACCTACACTGACAGTATAAGCAAGGATGCCAGGTCCAGGAACAAAAATGATAGTAACATTAATGAATTACTCTTTGCTGATAACCAGGCCTTGATTGCAGATACAGCCCTGAATTTGCAACATCATCCCATATCCATGAATGAAGAATGTAAATCAAATAATATGAGAATCAACATTGAAAAGGCAGAAGTAATGTCTGTGGGAAGAAAAAAGTAGGATTTAAACACAGCACTAGAGCGTATATACAGGCATCTGAGTTTAAATATCTTGGAACAACATTCACTGAAGATGGTAGCCCATCTATTGCAGCAAAAGACAATCCTAATCAGCACACAGAAACATGACATACAAAGCCTTTTCATTCCCAACCTATGCTACCAGTGCCAGACATTGTCCCTCACAGCAAAACATTAAAAAAAATTAGTAACTATGGAAATGAGGTGTCTAAGAAAGATTGTAGGAGTGAGTAGAAGAGATCAAATCAGGAATGAGGTCATACAAGATAAATTCGGCACAGAATCAGTTCTAAATTACTTTCAAAGACAGCAAATCAAATGGTTTGCCCACTTGGAAAGAATGCCTCCTGATATAATACAATACAAGGCATATACCAAAAGGGGAAAAGGATGTAGAGCAAGAGAAAGACCAAGAACACTATGGGAAGATAACATCAGAGAAACTCTACAGCACCACAATGTGTCTATGTTTAAATAGCCAAAAGATCATAAAGCAGGACCTTATATCTCCCTCGACATCTGAAGCAGTAAAAGAGGACGTAAAGAAGAAGAAGAGTTTTTGTTTTTAGTTCAGCCATATAGTACCGTTATATTTGGGCATCACAAAAGGGTTACAAAGTAACATCCAGTCCGGTAGGGGGTGGGTTTTTTGTGGCAAGGATTTTTAGATCTCCCTGCATCTCTTTTAAATTGTGTTTTTCTCCGCTCCCTTACTCTCTGCCTCTCTCCCTCCTTCTCTCTCTCCATTCACTGTTTGTCATATCCAGTATCAGTACGCTCCTCACCTCATGTTAACTGAAATTTGTTAGTTTTTTCCCAAAGCTCTACGTTAATGATTCTGTCACACCATTTTAATTTTTGTGTTTTGCTTAGGCACCAGTTGATGAACATCTGCAGTAGATTTTGATCAGTCATTGTTATGCCACATGATGATGATTATGTCAGGTAACCAGTATTAGAATGATTCCCTTAATGTCAGCAATTTAGCTTAACTTTATCACCACAAAATTACATCATGACATAAAATTACATCATGATTACTGTACACCTGAATACACAGGTCTGTAGATATCAGTCTTTCATACAGTGGAGCACACCAGATGTTCGGCCTTGAGAGCTTGGTCTAGTCCTATGAGTACTTGTACCTATAGGGTGAAAGAGGCATATACTTAGAGTGTAGGGCCTTTGAAACCCTTGTACAGTTAAGACCGTTGTGCGTGACCGAAGAGGCACAAAACACATTAGATCTAGATGAGATAACCTCGATTAAAAACCCTAAGCCTAAGGTGGATCTACGTGTCTAATGGCTGAATGACTGTGAGTTATACAGTCGTAAACGTGGAACATCTGGTAGGCGGGTGGGGTGTCGCCAGGTGCCAGTGTGCAAGTCAGATGGGAACCCAAATGCCTGAGCACAGTCTTCAGGCCTACCATCTATACTTACAACTATGAAATGAAACCTGGCCTCAAGAGTCAAGTATGCAGAGCAAGCTCAGGGAACTCATAAAAATTGAATTCATAATGATAAAAAAGGCCAGTGTGCAGCTTAATTTAAAAGAATTTAATAGTACAGACTGGGACAACAACATTAGGGTAGTTAGAAATAATAACAGATAGTGCTTGTAGCAAAGAAACCTTGCAAGGAAAGGAAAAGCTAGATAGATAAGAAAATGTGTTTCTACTAATTACTTTGTACTGAAAGCATTAATAATATTTTAAATTTATTTAACGATCTACTAGCAGCCTCTTATGGACATGTGGAAAAAATAATAATAACTTACTCGCTTCTAATTGCCATAAAAATATGGTGATCGAGGTATGTTAACTGCTCTGCTATGTCAAGAGCAAAAAGAGTATCCAGGTTATCCTTTGATGGTGACTGTGAATGACAAAAAACATTTATTTAGAACTTTTTTTTTACAGTTACAGAGAACCTACACAATTGAAGCTGTTTTTACAGAATCGAATGAGAGACCAAATGTGTCACACTGTTAGCAAGAATAAATAAAGATATCTAATAATTGAAAGAGAAGCATGGATTGTTGGTAATACATAGCTTTTTTAATGATGGCTTCTAACACTTCCTGTTTCTCACAATAGTATTACACTCTGACAGTCGACTTATCATTCCTCTCTTAATACATATGTCCTGCTTCCTGCTTGTATCATTCATCATTGCTGACTACACGATCATGCCTCTTCAAATCTGCAATCTTCAACAGCATGTATCAGTTCATGTGCTGACACTACTCCATGCAATGACACAAGGCTATAAGAGTCCTCTTCTGTTGCCTTCCTCTATCTCTCCTTCCACAGATCTTCCTGGAGGTTGTGATAAATTGTCTAGAAGATCTCGCCTCTTTCAGAACATCTGGTTTGCTTTTTTTTTTCCTGTCCATTAAATTTCAAGTGTTTTTCTGCAAAGCTTAACCTCGAGAATTTGTTTTGTTTGCTTATTAATTGTTCAGGATGCACAGCCATATGTTATAACTGGCTCTATGCTATGAATATATTTCAAACTCCAGTGACATAGATTTATTGCATAAGATGTTCTTCATTTTATAAACTTCAGTTTTAGCCAACCCTATCTTTTATCTCTGTGATACATCTTCCATCTGATGTTATTTATGAGTCTAGATACTTAAATTACTGCCCCTATTCTAAAGTAACGCTTCTGATAAAAACCATTTAAGCACAATTCTTTTCTTTGATATTACTATAATTTATGTCTTCCCATTATTCAAGCTGAGGCCCATCATGTCACTTTCTACCACAACAGTATCTATCAATCCCAGTAGTTCTCTCTGACCAATCACTATCTAGATGGTGTAATAAGCATAATGTAGGTTGTTGATACTGAGACCACCAGCAACAATTCCTTGCTTCTCAATAGTGGATTTCACATCTCAATGTCTACAGGTAACAGATAATCGCAGAAGTAAAATAGAAAAAAAAAAAATAAAAATAAAGGAAAAGCTAAAAATCACTTGTAAAAGATTTGAAATTTTTTGACTGCTAGAGAGATATTAGAATGATGAACAAACAATACATTAAAAATTAGAATTAGAAAGTGGTATAGATTCTCAACCCTGGTGCACAGTGCAGAAATCTGAACAATCTGGTTTAAACATTTTCTTCTTCTGCATTATGAGCCCTTGAGGTGTTTTGCTGCAGATATTTCCCACCTCCATTCACCACTGATGGGCCTTCACTTTCCAGTTGGTGACTTTCCTCATGAAAAGAAGACAAATAGGATTGACCATGCCAGCTGACAAAAACTTTACATTATCAGTACAAAAATAAGTGAACTAAGTGTCCAATCTGATCATAAATGGAAACCAAAATTTAAAAGATGATGAAATAATACAAAAAGGCCCTGCTTACACTTGGTGGCATGAGTAGCTGTGTTAAATCAATCTGCTTCTCAGGTGAGGGTTCTTTGTTGATAGTTCTAAGTATTGAGACAGCAGCTTTGTGCTCTGCTGGGAGAAGATTTGTATTGACCACCATCTCTTCTAGCAAGTCTACCACCTCAGCTTTGAGATCAAGGTCGGATTCAAAGTCCTGTTTTACATCAAAGGAAAAGTGCAGTCTTTTAGTATAATTATATTCAAATTGTATGCAATATTTTACTATAAAATTCGGAACACTTTATGTACTAAACAATGTCTACATGTATTAGACACTGTTATTATAACAAAGTTCATTAACAAGGCTGTAGCCCTAGGAGTAATCTTGGAGGATGAGAGGCTTAGTTCTATGATATCTGCCTCTAATTCAAGAATATTGTTTACTAATCAATGTTGACCTTCACCCACTATAATTTGGGTCGCTGTTCTGATACCTAGTCTCCTCTAATACATAATGAAAAAGGTATGAACAACTCTGTGCATGTTGTGTACATTAAAATTTGATCAGTGTTGAAAATCAGAGTATATAAAATAGGCTGAAAAACCAGACACAATTATAAAAGGATAAAGAAAACATGTCTGCAAAAAAAATATTTATAGTGTGTGTGATGCTAGTATATACCATTTAGCCTGTGATAGATCATGTCCTGTGTCTATAATCTCCTTGTGTGATCTGTATAGACAACATACTAAATAAGTGCAACAAGACCCATACACATGTTGTAATTGTAACAGACTCTGAAAGCATGCTGTAAAAGGTAAAGACAGGGATGCTTTAAGCAGAGTGGCTAGCTTCACAGGAAAGGTCACGGGTGGTGAGCATACTTTAGATCTTTTCTCCAAGCCATGCCGGCGTGGTGGGTAATGAACAGGCAGGCAGACTGGCTGGATCCGTACCACTGGGTGGTGAGTTGATACATGACAGGGCAGATGTGGTCAAGGTCCTTTGGGAACAAGCAACTGAATCAGTAGAGAAAGAAGATTAATATGGCCTGATGAGGATGGAACATGCATGGGGATGCTCCCAGTGCTGTGATGTCAATTCTTGACTCAACTCAACACAACTCAACTAAATAAGTGCATGCTGTAGACAACATGTTAAATAAGTTTACACTGTAGGCTATAGACATTTCTTACCATTTCAGACAAAATCCTAAGTATATAAATAAGTACATGAGTTGTGAACATTAAATTCAGAATTTCTCTGGTGACTAGTCCAAACTAATTTACTTGAAACCATAGTCAAGACATCATATTACCAATCATCTTATTTAGCTGATGTAAACTGAAAATAAAATTGTTAGCAAATATTGTGTGTAAGTTTCATTTGTCTGTAATGGGCTTAGCAATCGTGCTCATAAACATACAAACTAAAGTAAAATATTGTTAACATGAACTTGCTTAAGTTAAGGTGAACACTCAGTTAACATAAACAAAATGTTGGTTCCAACAAGGATGTATTATTTACCATTTATCTATTAGTCCCCAGTAAACACCCATTTTTTAAACACAAATTCTGGATTTTTGTTGACTTGGCAGTAATGTAAAAAACGTTTTTCTGTAATTTGCTCTGCACAGAGGGGCTTGCATTGCTTGACAGCAGCCAGCAATATATTTGTTTGTGAATGTGCCCAGAATATGTAGACTGGAGAAATGAGCAGGCTGATTAACTGCATGCTGCCTCTTCTCTGGACACTGATCTACTTTATGACAGACTGGATGAATGCTCTCTGGGACCCCATACTTAGAGCAGGAGAACAGATAGAACCTCCACATGATCAAAAATACTTGCACTGCTTTCAACAAAAACATTTTTTATTGTGCATTAAACAATGACTATATTTCAAGAAACATAGCATGTAGCTTTGGAATTTCATATTCCATATGCATTCACACACACATATTTGGAAATGTTAGGGAATAGAAACTAGAAAAATTGTTTTTATTTTAATAAAATATTTTACTCAGTATAATAAACATGTCTTGAAAATGATGTTAGGTAATAAGAAATTTAAAGTCACAGTTTTATATTTATAGTCTAATCTAATATAAACTATATTATATAAGTCATTATATCATATTAATATTATTTTATTAAGCAGATAGTTAAAAAATTTATTATTTACTTTTGAGCTCCTATTAAAAAAAAAAAAATAATACGCAACCTGAAAAATTTTCATATATACTTTTAATATTCTTTATGACAAACAAGAATAAAAAAGGGATCAGTCCCTGGCTGGCGAACTGGTTAGCAGCTGTTCTGTATTCTCGATGGGTTGCTTTCCATCTTGGTTCATGGACCTTAGAACGACTTATTATAGCCCCGGGACATCCACAGGAATCCTCCATCTTACCTGTGCTATTTAATGTATGTACAACTAAGATTGCAAGCCTTAAAGCCACAGGGGTTGGAAGGATACTGATATTCGCAGAATATATTCACACTTATTGGCAGGAAGATATAGGAAACAAACTGCCCAGAAGCTACAAATGACATTAGACAAAAATGATTGACTGGTATACAGAAATGATTGCTGTAATCCACCCAGAAAAGGCATTTGTTTTTGGTGCTCTCTAGACAACAAGATAGTTAGAGCTGATGTCTCAAGTCTTACGACAAATGGTAGAAATGTCAACAGAGAGATAAAATGAAGTATCTGGGAATCAGATTCTACAAGAGCCTGTCCTTTAAGGAGCATGTGGAGACGGTTGTGATAAGATGTGAAAATAGACTTAATGCACCTTAATATTATGGCTGCAATGGACACAGTGCAGAAAATGTTTTTCACCCTATATCAGCACTTGGTCCACTCAGTTACTGATTATGGACTAGGACTGCTCCTTGGTTTGTTGACTGTTGCAGGTAGGCTCTGCTGCAGAGGAAGTCATACCTCAGAGTAAGTGCATACACAGATATCCGTTTCCATGAAATGCTGGATGCAGTTAAGGTTCTGCAGCTGACAAGAGTGAAGTCATTGATGGCTGAGGTGGAAGACACGATCAGACAGGTCCTAGAGAACATTAATTGAGAAGAGGCGTGGGTCAAAGTGCCAGTGGAACAGTCACTTCTTTACACATAATCACATTGAGCCAGAAGTGCAAAAGTGACCAGAAGATGCAACAGAGGTGAAAATTCAACAACTAATTCATGATATTGCTTGCTCGGACGATGTGATTATTTATACAGATGGTTCGGAGTCAAGAGGCAAAAGAAGTGCCTAGGGGTTCCTGGTGAAAGCTTATGGTCGACATTTGGTGCAGGAGAGCCTTGCATATGATGTGAGGGAAGTCAATAATTAAAGTTGTTTAAAAAAAAAAAAAAGAGATCACAACTTGAAAACCTTTAATTTGTGTACATACCCTATCTATCCCTTTAGTTTTCAACATAATTTCCACCAGCCATGATGCATTTGTCCTATTTTTTTATCAGTCGTCCCAAACCTGCTGCATAGAACTAGGTGCTCTCTTTTCTAAACTACATTTTTACTTTAAATTCAACTTTTGCGTCATTTGCAAAATGTCTCACACCAAGGTGGGTTTTCAGCTCACCATTCTGTGGGATAAACATTGTCGGCATAAACAGGAAGCAATTCCTTATAAATGTCCTTTGCAGGCAGCCCTATAGCCCTAAAAAATGCACAACAGCACATTTTCTTTAGGGTACACTTCGTAAGTACAGTCACCTTTGGTTTCTGTGTTGCGAATGTGCATGCAACACCTAGCGCCCCCTGACGAATGAAGACATAAAGTTAAATGTTGCTGTCAACCTAAAGACACCATTAGAAACCACCAGCTAAGTTTTCCTGGAATTAATTTAGAGAACTATGACTACAAATCTTAATGAAATAGGGAGGCAGAGCAACGTGCACAAGACACCACAAATTGACGCCTTTCTCGACATGAACTGAACTACACGACGATAACAAAGGGAAGAGTACTCCAACCACCAAATGGTCACATGGAAAACATAAAAATAAAATATTTAAAAAAATGTTAAAAGAATAAAATAAAATAAAATAAAACAAAAGGGAGGAAGCTAAAAAAAAATAGCCGAAGAAGTAATAGTGATAATACATAAAAATAGTAGGAATGAAAGAGTGGTAGAAATACAACTGTTTATGATCCATAAATCGTGATTATCTTGATAAAGAGTTGTTTTGAATACGATACTCTTCTAGAATTTTCCATAGTTTGCACCTACTGACGATAGAATGCCTTCTCTTGATCTATAAGTATAAAATGTTCACTTTTATCATATTCAATAGACTGCTCGCATATCTGTCTCAAAGAAAATATTGCATCTCTACAGCTCTTTCCTTTCCTGAAACAAAACTAAAATGTCTCTTACTTAAGGTAGGTAGCGGTATCCCACTAGGACATCACACAAGCGACAAACACCATATGACACAAAGTGCCACCATGCGAATGAGGATCACCTGTGGAGGTCCCAGAAACCCCTTTCAGCCACCAAGTAATATCTATGGCTTTGCCATATCTATGCCTCGGCTATATTCAAGGCAAAAGCCAGGGTAGAGTTTCAAAAAAACCAAAAAATTACAGCCCACGAGGGGATGACTATAATTATATTAGTCTCTTACTTAACTGGGATTCTAGTACTGGCCGAGCTCAAAATTCCAGTATTTTTGCAAACATATTTTTAGAATGGCTCCAAATCGAGATGATTCTGTATGTTTCACAGTCTAATTTTCTCTCTTTTTTTCCAAATAGGGACACTGAGTATTTTCTATAGTCAGTATGTAATTGTCATTCCCTTAGCAAGAAGTGAAATGAAACTTTTGAACTTAATAAGTAGTGCTTTTAGTTTACTGCTCCATTGGTTTAAACAGAATAAGTAATATTCCACTTTTAAACTTTAAAATCTCTTCAGTTAGTCAAGAGTATTATATACCTTGTTTAGTGTTTTCTGATACATAGTACGGAATGTTAAGAACTATGTTATATATAAATTTTTTTTAAGTGTAATAACTGACCAAGATCTGTGTTGAAAATATTGGATAACAGAAACAGGAAAAGAGAGATAAATTTATATGTACACAATTTAAACAGCTTGTCAGCAGGGAAAAAAAAATAACATAAGCAAATCAACTTATAAATAATTTACCAATGATCAGACACATAATGAAGAATACTGGCTTAGAAACATAATTATCTATGGTTCAAAAATCAATAAAGGCAGAATTTGTGTGTGTGGTCTGCATAATTTTGGCAGTTTACAGCCTTGAAAAATAGGTATGTTGTGAGGGTGGAAGGTAAGTGAGATAGGTCTGTTGTGATATTTAGGCTTGGAAACGAGGGCCTCAGCATGACTGAAAGACCGTGATCAGTGAAAGGCAGCAGATAGGATTTGTTCAAGGTAATCTTCAAGCCGGAAGAAGTCTAACATTTCTAGATCCCGATGGTGGAAGCTATCATTATACTGACACAGTCTTCAGAGGCTGGAAAGGAAAAAGGATGAGAAGATGTGTGGAGAAGAAAAGCATGGGACTATTTAGGCTTTCAGTGCACCAAAGTGCGGAGGTCTTTAGAATCCAAGGTGACAGTGTGATCCAGAATATGCACAAATGACATTGAAATGCTGGAAGTGAATCGGATGCTAGGATAGAAATTGGAGAAAAAATAAATGAAGTCCTGCAGTTCTGACAGGGGCATATTGAAGACACAGATGCAGTCATCGATATACCTCCCATAGAGCTCAGGGAGCCTACCAGTGTATGGCTGATGCATCCAATGTTTGAGATAGCCCATGAAGAGCCAGGCATAGCTGTGTCAAATCTTAGTGCTCTTAGTGACGCTGCTGATTCGGCTGAAGTAGTGGCCATTGAACTTGAATGTGTTGAGAGTGAGCACTAACTCAGCCAGACGTATCAAAGGCTCAGTAGGACTGACTCGACAATCTAGAAAGAACGGCAAAGGCCTGGAGACCATCAGAATGTTTAATAAACAAATAGATAGTAGTAGTAACGTCTAAGGTGAAGATGTGGTACCTGGAAGGAGAGGTGAGCCAAATCGATTGAAAGACTGAAATTGGACTGGTTTCCGAAATATAAGACAGGAAACCAATGACCAGAGGCTGCAATATATGGCTGAGGATACACTCAGAATGCCTGGGTTTTCAGGCACAGATAGTCCATAGCCAAACTTTAGTACTGTAGATGGCTACGGATAGTCAGAGATGTACAGCAATTTACCTTAGGGGCAGGTAACTCATTATCAGAGTGATTATCTGCTCTTAAGACCTTTTCTCTTGATATTACCTTTCCTCAAGTGCAGCCCAGATGGCTAGTGTTTACACTCGTCAGACAGAGCTGTTTGTAGATGGACTCCAGACCAGATGTCACAGAACTTGGTAGACTGGAGATGAAGAAGCTAGGTGTGACTTTGTTTATGGTCATACAAAGTGACTGCCACCTTTATGATCCACAGGGATGTTCACCAGTTTAAGCTAACAAATGTTTCATTATTCACCATGACTGACAGGTATTTAGTGAATGAATGAACTCCAGTGAATGGAGTTTGGAGTTCATTGAATGAGAGGGCTGGGGAAAAGGGGGGGAGGGGGGGTTTGAAGGGGGGGGGGGTTTTGAGGGGGGGGAGAGAAGGTAAAGAAAGAAGACAAGTAAACTGTCACATTTTGGAAAGTGAGGCTCTTCTGCTATTGCCGCCTGCCATTGGCTTAACCCTATGCTTCAGACATAATTTTCTGGCGTAAAAGTAAGTTGAGATTATTCTGAATCACTGCTGAGGTGTGCACTTATTTTCTTTAGGAATATTCTAAGTAGTTCCAATAGGGCACTTCAAAACTGCCACTCTATTTTAATTGGTGTTTTATTGTTTTTTACATTGTGCATGTTTTTCAAAGTTATATACCCTGGAAGGCAGGAAATGTACCAACTACAATGTGAGACAAAAAAGTGTGTATGCTAGGAGGTGAAATGAAACATTTCTTTATGAATATGCTTACTATGTAGTTATATGCTACTGAACATACAATTTGCCTACAAAAACCACAATAGCCACACACAAAAAAAGTGGGAATGGGTTCTTGAATGTCCTGTAACAGATACACAACTAATGATTACTTAGTCCTGTCCATTTCCTGATGTTGTCATTCCAGGTTCTTCTTTGCCCTCCTCTTCTTTGACTACCCCCAATGTTCCTTGAAGTACAGTCTTTACAATCGAATCATGTCTCACCATGTGCCCTAACCAAGCTAGCTTGTGACATTTCACTACTGCCAAGAAAGGCTCCTGATATCCAACAAATTTGTAAATTTTGTATCTGACATATTTATTAGTTTTGTCTTCTAAATCAGTAATTCGTAAAATGTATCTGTAGCATTTACATTCGAAAGCCAGAATCCTTCTTTCCATTTCTACAGTGAGAGTCCAACCCTGCCATCCTATAATAAAATAGACAATACCAGTGATTTGAAAATATTGACCTTGACTGCGATGCTGATTTTACTCTTCCACATCGTATTCAGCTGCGACATCATGGCTGCTACCATATCAAGTCTTGACTTGATATCTTTAGTGAAGCTGCCATTGTTGCATAGGTATTTGCCTTCTCTTTAGTTTCCAAAATGGCCACAGATCTAACAGCATTATTCCTTAGCTGAGATTCCTAGTGGATGAGCCAGCAGTCATTGTGCATGCATGCTTACGAACGCACACTCAAACATAAACATACACACATCTTCCTCATTACCAACAATGAGTTATGATCTTTTGTGATCGTAAGATCAAAACTATCCATTTTTTTTCTTTTTAGATCGAATTAATAAACATTACTTCTAATTATTATAAAAATTTAGTTGGGTAAATTGTATACTTAGTTTCAACTGTCTTGTTTATACTAGTTTACCTCAACTCACTTGGATATACATTACTTGATGGGGGTATTTGTTATAAATTATACCAGGAGATTAAAATAAAATTCACAGATACTTAATGTTTAGGCTTCATATGGAGCAAAAATGGCAACAGGACAAAAGAAGTCTGAAAAAACTCATTTTAGAAATGCAAAGACTGAACAGCATAAATAACCTGTAGCATAACACCTGCAAGTAAACTGAAGTATAGATCATTCTGAGATCATGCATCTTTCCCCGTGGCAACTTATAGAGTCATGGCTGTGGCAACTTATAGAGTCATGGACTCTTACTCAATCACTGGAAAAAAAAAAACAAAGCTTTCGAAGGAAAATGGTACAGAACAATTTTTAGAATAATTTAGACCAAGAAAAAGAAAAAAACACACACTAACATCCAACATTTTATGAACACTGAAGAGAACTCGCTCATAAATAACATCTTGACCTGATTGCCTAGATATTTTGGCCATGTTAAACATTCCGTTGGCCTAGAGACAGCACTGATAGAGGGCACAGTTTTCAGTAAAATGAGGCACAGACAGACCCTTGTGAATGCGGGTAGAAGATATTAAAGATGCACTGGCCATAAAAGCACACAGGGCTGGAGAATTAGCATGATGAGAGTGACATTCTTTCTGTAAAGGACCTGTTGACTGATGATGATGGTGATGATGAAGAAGAATTACAGAAGGTATTCATGAGTTTGTATTACTCATTTGTGTTATTATTTTGGGGACTGTTATGTGAAAAGGGTAGCATGGTTACATTAAAGTTATGCTTTTAATTATTTGATCTTTTGTGTGTTTCACACATTATAATTTTTGACCGATTTTCTACTAGCTCGTCAAAACTGAAGAAAATACAGCTCAAAATAAAGCAAATATAGTGCTATTGTGATGCTCTCTATTATTACTTAAACTGTGCAACAGCAGGCAACAACAGAAAATACAGTGAAATTAAAATAAAACGAAACAAATGACACTTAAAATAGCGATATTCATTGCACATGCAGTTCTTTTACTGACAAATTAAATGAAAATAAAATGCTCAGATTCGAAAAAATGGATCTTCCCCCCCCCCCTCCCCCCACCACCCTCCCCCCCCCCAATATACATGTGTGCTGGGTGTTCATCCTTAGATATAAGAAAAGCGGGGATTTATTCCTTAAAGCCAGTAGGTGAGAAGCTATTGTAATGAGAATGCTAAACCTGTTACCTCATAATTACTAAATATCCAGTTTTTCAAGATTTTAATGACTCTCATTGTGTGAACAGAGCCAACAACAATGGATGCCTTTGTCTGACCTGTGAGAATGCAAAATTAAGGCACAATATTAAGCCCAGTAAACATCAATGATGGTGAAGAATTGTCACAACACAAAGCAGCTAGAGTTGCAAACATCAAATGTGCATCTGTGTATCAAAGCTGCATCAGTTGCCTAGAAATCAGTCATATGCCATATTAGTTTTGTTCATGTCTCTGTGTTTTTAGTTGCATTATGAATCAGACACTCTCAATAGAATGGTTATCTACACAAACCAAAGTCATGGCAAAATAAAATGCATATAAACAGGTGGGGTTGGGAGGGGTGATGGGGGCGAGAAGAGGTGGAGATTCAAACTCCACCTCTTCTTTCTTTCTCTGTGATTTTTGTGTGTTTGTTTTGCTTTGTTTAGCTGGAGGCAGCATACTCCAATCTGTTTATGACTAAAAAGTAAAATAAAGTACACAACAGCAGTGAATATTAATAGCAATTCCACATCTTCAGGCATATTGGGACTATGGCACTAACACTGTGTCTACATAGACCAGGCAGAGTTTGTGAATATATAGACCAGGCAGAGTTTGTGAATATAAAGACTAGGCAGAGTTTGTGAATATATAGACCAGGCAGATTTCGTGTCTACATAAACCAGGCAGAGTTCATGTCTACATAGACCAGGCAGAGTTTGTGTCTACATAGATTAGGCGGAGTTCCAATTCTTATGGCACCAATAGCAGTCTGACAGTATGTCTGTCTTGCATTTACTATTCATGCTAAGTATCAACCAGATTCGTTGCTGCATCATTTACTCCAGCCTGTGACCCTATAGTAGTGCCTCTTCACTGTTCACTTGCTCTCAAAGTGAGCTTTTATGACATGTAGCTTGAAATGCATTAATTTACCCCCAAACCTTGGAGAACTAGAGAAAGTTGGAATAAGACAGTGTCTGGATTATATTGACAAAAAATAAATATTTTGGCCATCTAGTGAGAATGCAGCCAGACCAAACTGAAAATGAGACTTTCTACAGCACAATATCTGGGAGGAAGGTGAGGGGAAGACCAAGACAGAGATAGTAGTATTGAGTAACTAACATCTGTAAAAAGATCTGAAAAGGGCAAAACCAATACAGAAAAAACAAAAACAATTGGCTTTAACCTAGTATCAGTGCATAAACTAGTGCTGATAGTAAAAACATGTTTCAAGAAATAAATATTGTATCTCTCCTATATATATATATATAAATATATATATATATATATATATACAAAGAAAAAAATAATTATTTCCTGAAACATATATATGTGTGTGTGTATATATATGTGTGTGTGTGTGTGTGTGTGTGTGTGTGTATGTGTATGTAAAGATATATATTTGTGTGTATGTATATATATGTGTGTGTGTATATGTGTGTGTATGTGTGTGTAAATATATATATATACATATATATATGTGTGTGTGTGTGTGTGTGTGTGTGTATGGCTTACGGTGTAAACAGTCAATATGGTGGGACATCTTTTTCGTCTGTTAGGACAAAGGGTGTTTTATCAGCATCCTGTTATGAAATTTCATTCATTTAAACCATACGACAGGGGACAAGAACAAAAGATCAGGAAGCATGCTGGTGCCGGCCGGAAACGTTATAAATGTGACAGGCTGAGCCTAAAATATATTCGTGTGTTATACTGGAACTGTGTCTCGTTTAATCAGAGATGGCCCATTCTTGAAAAGGTTCTTTACGGCAATGATATCGTAGCCTTGCAGGAAGCACGTCTAGAAGACGAGACTGTTAAATTTGCGGGTTTTCAGTGCTTCTACAATCAGCAGCATCTTGGACAGGTCATTATGGTTCCTGACAGCATGATAGCATCTGAAGTGGACATGTCTGAATGGAACAGTGATGTCGTGCAGGTGCACTCAGTAAGACTGCTGGCTCCCGCCCAATTCATGATCGTCAATTTTTACGCCTGCAACAGAAAGGTTTACGTGCAGCAGTGGCAACGTTTGTATGCGACCGGGGAAAGAAACATCATTGCCAAGATTTTAATGCCAGGGGCAGACAAGTCAATAGAATAGCCACTCGACCAGGTGACTCTGACAGTGTGATTGACATGGCTCTAGTGTCGCTGACCATCGCCCCTGTTTGTAGATGGAGTACACTGAGGTACCATGACAGCGACCACCTGCCTTGTGTTGTCTTGGTTGAGAAGAGCAGAAAAGGCAGTCAGATAAGCAGAATAAATACTTTCTAGTATGAAAACACAGGACAGGATGCCATCAGCAAAGTTGGATGCTGCAAAGTAAATACCTCACGCAGACAAAGAAAGAAATGGACTCAGCCATCATGGTGGGATAAAGAAGTTGAAAGGGCATGTTTGGAAAAAAGGCAGGTCTGTCAAGGTGTGGCAGAAGGCCAGGAAGTAGCAAGTCGCAGCCAGAGTTCCTGAGTGACCTGAAAGATAAAGTAAATAAGACAACGATGGCTTTCAAGCTTTGCACAAAGCAGGTCAAAAATGAGAAATGGGACGATTACTGTAAGAAGGTGTACTCTGAAGGGTCTTTTGACCTATTTTGGCGAATTCATCAGGCAATGAATGGCACCACATGACATCGGGGTATCTCAGACATGTCAGAAATCTGATGCAGATAAAAGACAGTGTCGAGTGCGGATGTGCACTAGAACGCACTGGTACTGAGTGAGCAAATAGGACGTCAAAACAATAAATAACGTCGTGAAGGTATTGTTGTCAAAGGCAGTTGATGTTTACAGTCCGAAGGAGACGGACTTGTGGATCCCTGAGGATGCTTTACCCCGGGATGCCATGGAAGGAATGTTAATCAAAGTTGGATCCTTGAGGATGCTTTACCCCGGGATGCCACTTTAAACCTCAGCAGAAAGCTGGTATATTGCATAATTCAGTCGGCAGTAAGCCGGTATAAACTTATCTTACCTTGTTCAAGCTGCGAAAGAGAAGATTGAGGTGACTGTCAGGATCTCCAAGGTCGGACTGCGACCCGTCGTGTGAATTGATCAGTCGATTGATGTACGAGTCGGCTGTAAGCCGGTATACTTATACTACGGACTGTCTGGATTTCCAAGGTCGGGCTGTGACCCGTCGTTTGTAATATGTCAGCTGACGTTGAGCGGTTTCTTGCGTTGGTGTGTTTAGATGAGTTTAGATTGTTAATTGCACATTTTCTCATCTGTTGATTGAGTGTATGTATCAATACACCAGTTGGAACCTAACTACGAGCGTTCGTTGTTCTACCGTTAAAAAGCATTGAAGTTCCTACTGTTTTAACCCCATTTGGCCTATTTCATCGTTTGCTACGACACGCATTAGCATGAAGCCGCCGCACGTCACAGACAGGCTCTTCTTCAGCGCTACTTGGACCAAACCGACCAGAAAGATGAGGCAGTCAGACCGAGAGTTAAGTCAACACTTTCAGAGTTGTGTAAAAAAAGCAGAGCTAAGTAACAATTACAGCAGTACAACTGAGAGGTCACAAGACGATATTCAATGTCAACATCAGAAGTAGTCAAATCAGAGCGGAGTGTCTACAAAGCTATCTACTACATTACCAAAACCAAATAAAGATCATTCCAAGATCAGTGACTACACAATCATTACCACGCAGAACACTATGGGCAAGCTTCTGGAGAAAACTGTAGCACGTAGACTCACTGATGACTTGGAAAAGCATGACAGATTACCATCCACACTTAGGGAATACAGACGAAACAAAGAGACATGGCTCAATGCAGCAGTCTTCGCCTGTGAAGTCTGTGAAGGTTTTCAGATGAGAGAAGAGACATGTGCAGCTGCATTAGACTTAGAGGATGCACACAACAGAGTAAGTACTATTTGAATACTTGGTGCACATACGGACGTGTGTATATATATGTGTGTGTGTATATTTGTGTGTATCTCCCTTCATCACCTGCTGGGTAGCTGCAGCATTGTTTTAGAGATGGGTGATACTCAGGTGTGGTTGTTGGTTCTTAGAACTGATGATTATCAGCCCAGGATTGCCTCAAGGTTCTCCATTGTCTCCAGTGCAATTCAAAGTGTACACAGGACTAATAACTGAGCAGCAGTTGAATGGGAGTGGCAGGACCTTGTCATTTGCTGATGACCTCTTAGAATATCGAAAAGGAAGAGATTGTCAAAAGATTGCCAAGTCAATGCAGAGTGAACTTAATCGCATCTCCTCAACCATTCAAAGGCCTCAGTAATGTGGTTCTCCTTTGAACACACATATAGTGAAGGCAGACTTACCAGCAGTGGAAAGCAGCAAGGGAATTTTTACCAGAACAAATGCATTGACATACCTCAGAGGAAGGCTTTGATCGCAGCCTATCCTTCAAAGAACATGTTGACCATGTCAAAACAAAAGCACGCAAAGCCCTATCAGCAATTATGGTCCTGGCTGCCACTAATGCTGAGCAGAGACTATTTCTGCTTCTGTTTCAGGGACTTGTACTTTCTCCTATCGTTTATGCTCTTGCCATCCTCACTGTCAGCCATACTCAGATTGAAAGACTTGAGAAGGTGCAAAATGAAGCAATGCACATTATTTTGGGGTGCATTTGAGACATCTCTTTTGTAGCAATGAGGTACCTTCTTGACTTCCCTACCATGAACTACAGGATCAAGTTGTGGAGGGCTCGTGCATACCTAAAGATAAGCTCAGATCTGAAGCACCCTTTGAACCACATGCTCTTCAAGAAAAAGGGCAATAGGCTTAAAAGGGGCAAACCATGGCTGGTTAGGGCAGAGGATAACATCATGCAGGTTTGCAGCCTTACAGACATCCATCCAGGTAAGGAATGGATACCAGCGTCTAAAGCACCCAATCTCACATTCTATTGTGTCCAGACACTCGATAGGAGTTGTCTGGAGCAGAATTCAGCTGCTGTCAATGCCGAGATATGAGCGCTTATCAGTGACAAGTCAGATGAGACAGATGTGGTGATCTTCACAGACGTGCATGGGCATTTACAGCTCGCTCTTCAGGAAAAAACAGTTCAAGA